TGCCATTTCATCTATTATTTATACTATTATTAACTATAAGCATTTCGCTTAAAAATAAACTTCTTTCTTACTTTTTCACGGTTATAGGATAAATAGATCTACTTACTTTACAAGTTTCGATCCGATTTAGGGTTTGTTAACGTAAATACATTTTTAAGGGCAGCAGAACTATGTGCATCAATAGGTGTCCAGTAGTCTCCAGATACACCTATAAAAGGGTTTTTGAATTTGAGTCTTAACGAGAAATACAATGCTTGTCACATCTACGCTAGTAAATATTAACTAATCCTTATTCTTATAGAATTTAAATAATGCTTTTGTAAATTGGGTTATATTATATTTTATAAACCTTTATTTTAAAATTTTTATAAAAATCTAAAATAAAAGGTATTCTGTACTGTATTAGAATTAAATCGAAGTAGTACACTAAAGTCGCTTTTAATATATGAATGTGCGAAAAATTTCTGACAATAACTGTCACTTTATTAAGTTTATACACAGCCAAACTCACGCAAATCGAGAGCAATTTGGATGAAATTCAGTTGAGAGATAGCCAAAAGTTCAAGGTGAAATTTTTTGACAACGTCAATATGTGAAATTTTACGCAGCCAGTAACACACAACGTTTAGAAATATCAGCGCGCTGTATACCGTTGGCATTTGGCAACATAAACACACAACTTATAGTGGTTTCTTGAGTGGGACGATAAATACACCATGAACTCCTCAAGGTCAGCCAATAATAAAACAAACGTGCGTTCTTTACCTACTAGGTAACGATACTACCTACATGAATAATGTAAAAAGTTTAGAGCCTATCACATATTATTTTTTTCCCTTTCATTAGTCTTTCGGCTATAGGCATCATTAAATATTCAACCCATCCGGTTGGATGTTTTGTACTTCATCAAGTACAAAGGGGCATTCTTAATTAGAAGGTGGATTTAACCAGAAGACTCACTTTTTTTCCAACTTCTGGCCAGGAAATGTGCTCCTTTTAGCCGGTTATCAGTGAGTAGTTTTTAGGTACGTAACTTTTAGTAGAAATCATTGTTGATTATAAGCCTACTAAATTGTTGTAACAAATAGTTGAAAAACCCCTTGAGTATGGTTTTTAGGACGGTGTTTTGAGAACGTTGGAGGATTAGATTTCAATTTTAGATTTGCTAGTTTCCTCACCATCTTTAAATACATAATACCAAATCAAGTTGACAGTATTTTTTATAAAGAAATGGCTTACTTATTTGAGATGTTTGAGCCTCTTCTCAAGAGCTAGTACAAATTCTTGAATCAAAAGTTTGTCTCTTCTCGTTTTGTTTTGATGTGTTCTTTCCATGTATGTCATCACTGCATCATAGATAGAAATAGACGACTCATGTACCTCATTCTTTATGGAAAATAAGTGTGTTAGAATTTAATAAGTGGGTAGAACAATAGAGTTCACATCACGATTACTACTCGTAATATATGTGTGTAGTCTTCGATATATGTAAATATGAATAAATAATAATATATAAAACTGTCTTTTATTGTGCAGCTTGCATATTTCGGAAAGAAATATCTCATCAAAATATGCAAACTAAACAGTTTGATAGTATTGTGTGTAACCGGCATAAAATTACATGTATAAATACTATACATCTCAGAGTACGCTGCTCGAATATGGTATTCCTATTTATAACCAAAGAATGTTTAGTAAACACGCATGTTGTAAACACACCGGCATATCTGAGAAGTGATGAATACGACGTACATACTATGACAAGGCCTCTACGCCTGTTCAGGTCACCAAGCGCCCGTTGTAGGGCTTCTGAAAGTGGGGCACTGCATGTACAATATCAGGGTTATATGTACATATCTTGCACGATTAGGGGCATACTCTTATATGAGGGTATATACAGATCGAGGTAGTCAGAGTAATTAGTATTTTTAATGGAATTTCTAATGGTAATCAAGTTGACTGTCCACTTGATACATGCAAAAGACAAATAACTGTCGCTTAAAGATATGAATAACTTTTTTGTTCGTGGAGCATGAACGTCAAGTTTTAATGAGATGTTCTATATGTGAAACTGAAGGTCTTTCTCAAATTTCTAATAGCAATAGTGGTGGTAAATTTTCGAGTGTTAGCAGTTACATACATATTAGTGGTAGCGGAATTAAAAATTATTATTTATTATTTTATTTGATTAATATATATATAAACACACTTAATTCAATTAAATATCTTTCTCAAAATATTGTGAGTCAAAAACCGACGAATATTTGAGTCTCTCATATTTTTTTAATGAATGATAATGAAATGGTAACCCCGCACTGCGCTAACGGTATACGGGGCACCAGTGAGGGATGATAGGTGAAAATGAAAAGGCGGACTAATTAGTCCATCGTGATGAATACATCTGGAATTCAGTATGATGATATCCAGGGGGACCACCTGGAGATCGACTTGACAGGGTATACTGCTAGCAATGGGATTAATAGTTCGAATTACTAACAATCTCTTCTTATGCAGCCTCACATATTAGTCCGGTACATCCAACAGCTGCCCTTGCATTCTACAAGGCTAGGCATTACAGTCTTCAGAAATAACTCAAATTGCGATATATGGCAGTGACATTATTGAAAGCAAACCATCACATGATCAGATCATAAAATATTTTCTCATCAAATGATGGAAAATAGTGCCCGTAAGTTACAACGTTTACCGTTACTATTTATTATCATTTGATAAGCTTTGCTTTTCCAAAAAAATGCTCATCTGGCACCACCAGGCACCACCTTGAGGAACGGCCTTAAAGTAGGTAGTACTTTATTATTACGGTTTCTCAGTCAAGCGATTAATGTCCCTGTTTTTATATTTCGATCTGAAGGATGCAATACACAGTGTAGTCTCTTCTATGTAGAAAAGGAATTTTAGCCTCAAACTCCCCAATTATCTGTAATGTAGACTACAATTCCTACTCTTGACTTTTGGGATTCTGGCTTTATTTAATTAAAATACTCATAAATATATAATTGTCTTCATTATGAGATAAGATATAATGAGGTTTTTATATTTTTTTATTATATGTGAGCGTGTAATATTGGAGAGCGAGTATATACTTGTATAATAAATGATATACAACTAAACCTTTGGAATGTCATAAAAACTGTGAATGCGGTACATGATAAATGGAAGAAGAAATTAATGACAATACAAAGACAAGGTCATCGTGACCTTGACCTACACATACGTAAATCAGAGACAGTACGAAATAATTCGTACCTATATCTTTACATATCTTTCATAGATAACCTGTTCTTATTTATTTTTTAATATGTAAATAAAAATTGTCTCACGCGCCGATTACATGGCAATGTACATTGTGTAACCACGAGTTAAGTATTATCAGTAAAGTCCATACACGTTTTAGGTATAAACAGGTGAAAAAATGTGTGTGTTTATATATTTTATACATACTATTACATATACTAATGTCAATATGAGATATTGTTCAGTTTGATACCTATTATTGAATTTTACCATCATACAATCCGTCAGAAACTAAAGTTCCATCTCAACCATCTCAACCATCTGGATGAGATGATCCTCCATGCACAATCACGCTTTGGAATTAAGTTCCAGTAGCCGTATTTCAGAACCGATACGGCATCGCAACCTTCAAGAAAACAGCGCATTCAGCTCGTCGTATTCAGACAGAAATTTAAAATTACACCTAAGTTTTTGATATTTGTCAGATTGAAACTCACGATCTTTCGGATCTAGGAAGTTAGGGTTGTGTAGGTATTACTTCGTTATTCTTTGTCTATGGTAGTACAAATTAAATAATTGTCATACCAAGTATTAAAGTATTACGTAAAAATATGTAGGTGTATAAGGTAGTATTCCATACTACACTGTAGTGTAATAGAAAATCGAAATCCAATAATATCTACATTTTATATTAAGATATGTTTCCATTTGTAGCAGTTACGATTGACGTAGGTATACACGTTCACAGAAATAGTAGGTACTAATTGAAACAGTTGTTAAATGAAAGATATTTTCACTACAACTACCTACATATATGCAATTATCAGGTAAGGAGGGATTGTTAGTAATGGCCCCATCAAAATATCCTACCAGATTAAACTCCAGATGGTCTCCCCTGGAAACCTTCGTGGTTAATTTTCCAAGGATTCGTCCCGATAGGCCAAATGAACTACTTTTACCTTCACCTATCATCTTTCACTGTTGCCTCGCTAGCAGTATTATAATTCCATCCATTATAATCCATTAAAAATTTTATATACATTCATAAAAAGAAATATCTGCCTGGTTTTTCATAACACAGTATCCTAGGTTGAAGACCAAGGGATCGGTGGGATTGTGTGGTATTTATTATAATAACTATGTAAATATATAACTAACGATTAAATATATAATATATTTAAATAAATGTATGTAATATCTAACTGCTTGTACCTTGAAAGTCAATTTTTGCCCTTAGATTAAAAAAAAGCTATTTGACTACAACTAAATACCTATCTATTGATTCGGAATTTATACATCGTGAAAGTTTTTGAATAATTAATAATTTAGAGGATAGCATTCATATTAAAGTACCAGTGTTCGAAAGTTATATTACCTACATATTTATTGACTATTGTTTCTACACCTTACTAAATAACTATGTAAATTGTTATTATTGTTTTCTCTTTTTATTTTGAAGTATCCTCTTTTACACCACTGTGAAAGATTGATGATGGGCGGTGGTCATAATTTATTTAGAGCAAGCGGCGCTATCTAGTGGTAAATTTGATAAACGACAGAACTTTGCTTTAGAATGACTGAAGATTTAGCTATTCGCCATCAGATGACGCTATTAGTAAGAAATTCGCTATTTGAGGACTTGTTTTTTAACGTTTCAAAAAAACCAAATGGTTTTAGTATGTATATGGTATTCCCAAAGTTAAGTGATAATGTTATTAAAAATAACCTCATGTCATTTGTTGCAGGTTTTAGTGGAATACGATGGTGTGGACTGGCAACGTCGCGAGTGGGTAGCAGTGTATTCCCGTAGGACGTTTCGCATTTTTTTAGTGGAAAGAACTTTAGTGTGGGCGCCTAGAAATTATGAAGGAAAAGAAGTAAAGTGGCCAGCTTTGGTGAGTTCCATTTTTTTATTTGTTTTGTTAAATGGTACCTTGTGCACTTATTAATACCTGCTTTTTCTTGTGCTTTCAATAGTAGTATTCAGTTTGCTGGATAGATGGCGTTACGAGTATTAAAAAATTCTGTTTCAATTATCCCACTATTCCTGAATTATCAGTTCTTATTACGGTTATTTTAATAATATAAATAAAATAAATGGGATCATCTTATTATACTACATTACTTAAGATAAGGGTATTATAAATATATGTCTAAGCAAATATTTTTACTGTTTAATGTCTACATTTCAGTTAAATTAATTAATACATGTAGTGAATTCAATAAAAAAAAACGTGAGGAATTTTATTCATCTAGGGGTATTTATTCTAGGAGTATCTATCGATAAGAAAGTAGCATACTTGTATTATTCAATAAAGATTATGTCCTATAAAAAACCATTTTTAATTGTGACAAAACCAGTTATTTTGAAAACTAAACTACACAACTGATTTTGATAAAAATTTTACGGGACTAATCGATAATTATATCCTTTTAGATTAAAAAATAATTTTCAAATCAGTTTATAATTCACGGTGTTATGAGGTAACAAATATAAAAAAATAAAATTCGATTGAGTACCTCTTTTTTTAAGTCGGTTGAAAATGGCGCCTAAAATATTTTCAGTATTATAATAGGTAGCACGCCAGTGATAGTGTGTATTATAGTCACATAAACCACCTGATGGTTAGCAATAACCATAACTTATCTCATGTACGTCCTCATCACCAGCGGTGTCACATGCGTGTCGCTGACTAATGCTGTTGACTCTGAAGAAACCTTATTATAATAGTAATAATTCGGTATTTTTTTTTTTATATAAAATTATAAGAGCATTTAGAAAAGAACAGAGGAAATTGATTGCAGAAAGAATTATTAAAATATGTTCAGAATTGGTATGCACATAGATTGATCGTATTTGGGATAGAGCAGGATATACTAGGCTAGGCTACCTTTAATCCCAATCAATGAACATATAGCCTAGTAAAATGTTACCCATATATATCTGATATTGTTTTGTAAAGTAACTAAAAAGGAAGGATTTGATTTTATTTATTTCATTTATTTGATTTGATTTAATATTAGAGTGGTGTGCGGGGTGTGGAGCAGCCCGGTCTTGCCGTGAAAGATTCTAATTTCGAGTTGTCATACTTGATACGCAGTTCGCAAGCAACTGCGCATAATGCGAGTTACTCTCCCGATTGACGTAAAGTGTACCTATTGCCTTTATTAAACTACCATTCTACGAGAAATCTATCTTTATTTCTAAAAGAAAGCCTGATAACTTGCATAAAGTATATTTTTGTAATTTTTGAATTAATATTTAGAATAAATTTACTTTCTTCGTCTATTTGTTTTTCCGCTTACTTTTAAACCACGCAACGGATTCGATACGGGTTTCATTGACATGCACATATTTTTTCATGGACAGTTTGTAAATACAATTTGCATCCGTATGATTTCAAGGCGAGTCGCTAGTTAGTGTTATAAATCCTGTATCAGTTTTACAATTAATATCATGTGAAAATGTACTCTATTTGCGTCACACACGCACGTGTGTCTCCTTTGACCTCCATCCGTGGATACAGATACGCGTCCAGTTTTGCATTGCAATCACGTTTCAGCCGGTCTGAGGTCGCATAACCAATTTTACCTTACGGGACCAAATTCAAAATTCTCATGCTTAGTCCCTGCCCAAGTCTTACATTTAGATCGTATGCAAATGATTACAAAAAGTCGCATAACATTAGGTGATACGCGAGTAGTATGAGAAATACTACGAAATGATGATAAGAATAATGAGCAGGTAATACAAGTGTGAGGTATAAAAAGTTAGTAGAATTTTGTTTCACCAGGACCGGTTAATTAAGATTATTGTCATCTAGACCTTAAAAAAATTAAATTGAAATGCCTATTTTGTTGTCGGAATAGCGAATGCAAATCCTATTACCATTATAAATGCGAAAGTTTGTGAGGATAAATGAATGGATATTTTTTACTACTCTTTAACGCAAAAACTACTGAACAGATTTGAATGAAATTTGGTTCACGGATAGGTTATATCTTAACTTAGAAGATATGATACTTTATATAACGCGGGTGATGCCGCAAGTTATTAGCTAGTCTGCTATAAAAACTTTTCTTTGTAAACTGGATTATATAAGGCATTAGGTAGGAGGTTAGGTGGAGATATATTGTAAATAATAATGGTATTGTATATGTCTATTGTCTTATTTTTTATACTGTATAGTAAAATATATTTTTTAAAACAAAACAGCAAAGTAAGCACACTGTATAGCGGCAAAAGTACGAGGACGATAGATGTACCCTAGTCTTAGTTCGGGTTTGAAGGGAAGGATGACGGTGAAATTATTAGGTATGAACGCATGACACTAGCCATACGAAATGGCAACATATAAGGATAACTTTGGGCGTAGTACTGCATTTTGTGTTTTTTTTTTTCATGGATGATAATGGAATGATGACCCCGCCTGTGCTATCGGTATACACTGGCGGGGAACAAGTGAGGGATGATAGGTGAAGATGAAAATGTAGGTCAGTTAGCCCATCGTGACGAATTCAACGATAAATTAATCACGATGGTTTCCAGGGGGAACTGCGTGGAGGTCGACCTGATAGGGTATATTGATAGCAATGTGGACTAAACTCCCCATTACTAACAATCTCTTTCCCCCCTGCATTTTGTGTTAGTCATGTGGTTCGGACATAGAATGGGCTACCCCTTCCTTTTTGGATGTCGTTTGGATGGCGATTAGGGAAATTTAATGGTTGAGGGATGGGCAGCAGTCTCGCTCTTAAAAGTTCACCAAAGGCGAAACTACCGTTGCCAAACTTCCTACCAAGCGTGGTAACTACTGGCAAAATCTCCCCAATGGTAAACTGCCATGAGGAACGGTCCAGTTTCTTATGACAGTGTATGAGGGAGACCTATGTTCAGCAGTGAACAGATAATGGCTGATATAACAGCATTTCCATGACGCTATTCATGTTTATAAACAATGTTTACTACTCTCCATCATGTGAAACACAGCTTATTTGCCATTCTAAATTGCATTAAAAATAAATCATGTTCCTTAAGATTAGAAGTTACTTAAGGAACATGATTTCCTTAAGTAACTTCTAATTTTTTCATTTTACTATATAACACTTTCCATTCATATAATATTTCAGGCTTTATTAATTACTCTTGTTAATCTAATATACTAATTTCAGACGTTTACGCCACTGGCTGCCGATGTGACCCTGCAAGCGGATGCACAGCCCGTGGAATTTCTTCACGACCAGTGCTTGTCCTTTCTGGACTATGCTAACTTGCAGCCATATCAGGTAATAGCATTTTTCTAACAGTATTTTGTTTGATTACTGTTTAAGCACTAAGTCACTAGTACGAGTATGAGCAGTTTAGAGGTAAATAGTTACACAGACATAAAATATTTGAAGTATTCCTGAATTTATCAATAATTTATTGATGCTCTGCGAAAAAATAAACATGAGCTTTAATAGTAATTAAATAAATATGGCATTAAAACAAGACATACTTTTACTATTGTAAAAAGAATTGGCGAATGTAACACAAAACAAGCAAGAGAAATAAAAACTAAGTCACTTTAAAGAAACCATATAAATTGTCAACAACTCCGATTTGTTGATAATTTATATGGTGTCCTGTATAGTCGAAAGAACTCTTTCTTAGTTCTACCTTTAAGATTCTTATTTTTATTAAAAAAAAAATATCTGTGTAATCATATTATACTGGAAAACAAATTGTGCTGCTTTTTTATATACCTACTTATTTTAATTTGAGAAAATCTAGAGATTACACTACGAGATACACCCGTTTTGTCAAGGTTAAACAGCGTCCTTGTGTCTCAGGGTCGCAAGTCTGCCGTTTGAAATAAACTAAAATCCCTTTCAAATTTAATGTAAAGAACGTAGGTAGGTGTAGGTTATTTGCGAATTTATCTTAAACAAGGTCATAGCTGGAATAAATTATGAGAAAATTGTTATCGTAAAGTTCTTATCCCTCTGATGACAGAGTCGAAAAATACAACGTAACAAAGTTAGAACCACTGCTACTTCTCATGTTAATCCTGATCATAAGAGATTACAAAGAGAAAAAGGATAATACGCTATTATAAGAAGAAAATTTGAAATAAAACGCCAATCCGATCATCGAAGACCAGCGTGATAAATGTAGACTTATGGTGAGAAACCCTTTCCCAGTAGTGGGACGGTAATGGATTATTATTGTTATGAGGATATACTCTGTCTTTAGAGGGAGGAAAAGTTTGTTAGTCTCCTTTCCTATTATGACCCTGTCAGGTCGACTTACACGCGGTCTCCCCCCGGAAACCATCTTGATTAATTCCTAGTGAACTCGCTACGATGGGATACCTGACCTGACTTCATCAATATTTGTCATCCCTTACGGGTACTAGAAAGCGTTTTTGTATACCGTTAGCATAGGCGGATGCAGCATTCCATCTTTATCCATTAATAAATAAAAGAGTCTCTCTTTTACGAGAAATAATGTTTTGCACTAAAGAGGTTGAAATTTTAAACGACGAAATTAGGAAACAATCGCTCATTCTGTTTGTATTATATGTAAGTTTCTCTACAATTTATGGCAGTCATTAATTTTGATAAAGCATGATAATTGTCTTGGCATTGGATAATAAAAAGGTGTGCGTAGTGATTAATTTTGTCTCATGTCTTTTGTATTTTATAACTGTTTGTAATGTCTATTCAAGGTCTAATTTATTGCCCTAATGTCTTTTACAAATGGTTGTAGTTTTCTTAATTTAAAGCCTCGTCGCGTGTCAATTCTGATTAAGTCTCTGTTGCATTTTCTATTTTTAATTACAGCATTTGATAAATTTATAGTAAATATCCAGAGATTAAGACGTTATTTTAAATAAAAAAAAAATGTTTACGACTATATTTTTTTATGGAGTAGTCAGAAGTATTGCCATTGAGGTAAATGTAACAATGAGTGTGCCATTTCACAGAGTATATTAGAATCCAACGTCATAGGTAGCAAATCTGCTACCATCAATCCGACATTTTTTATATTACTAAATGACAAATAAATCGATGGCCCGTCGGATAGAAAGTGGTAATCGACGTCTACATACATGAACAGCTTACAACATCACAAAAACGCTCTGTGCCGCTTATAATATTGTTACAATTTGCAATTGTTTGTTAACGGTATTTTCTGTTACTAATTTAATAGGAAATTAAAATAGTTACACAAAATATTCGGTGGTTAGATTTAAATTCAAATCATCTAAGGTCTATACCTATTTTATTAAATAGACTTATGGTAGGTATAGACCCAACCGCGGTCTTGCGGTATACTATCCTGGTAATTTACCCTTAGGCTACAACGAAGTTTCCTCTACGTGCCTATTGTAAATATAATTCCGTTAAAATATTCAATATTGTGAATTTATAGAATGGGTCAACCCTTCCTTTCTCGTGAGTGTCATAAGAAGCGAGTTAGGGAACTTAATAGTCTAAGGAATGGACAGCAGCGCCCCTTCTAAAACATCATCAAAGCCTAACTGCCGTTGCTTACTTGTCTGCCAAGTGTGGCAGCTTCTGGCAAAACGTCCCAATAGTGGGAAGCATATGTTCAACAGTGGACGGTTGACGGCTGATATGATGACGATGATTCAATATTAAAAATATTGTTGGTTGTTTTTTTTTAATGGAAGATAATGGAGTGGTAACCCACCCGCGCTATCGGTATAATACCGGCGGGGCACCAATAAAGAATAGGTGAGGATGAAGCAGGTCAGTTAGCCCATCGTGGCGAATTCAACAAGAATTGTTCACAATGGTTTCCAGGGGGAACGACGTGGAGGTTGACCTAATAGGGCATATTGCTAGCAATGGGGTTCTCAAACTCCATTGCTAACAATCCCTTTTCCCCCACTATTGTTCGTTGTTAAGACATTATAAAACAAACCATGTGAACGAATATAGAGATATTCTGGTATTTTATTTATTCTTTATTATACTATATTTTGTTAAAAGAGAAAATTGTATTCAAATATTGATAATAATGTATATTTAAAATACCTATGTAGAAAATAAGTCTTTATTTTTAGTAGTCTTTCTCGGAACATAATTCCAATGAAACTTAGATTATTTTTATAATGAACACAACTTAATCTAAGACGGTACACTTTTTTTGAGAAATTTATTTATTTTTAAACATTTAATTTAATTAAAATGTAAGTAATATAACACGTAGGTATCTTAGCATCTTGTTGTATAACTGTGTTCGTCATTCTCTCCTTAATATGTGACAGTATATAAGCCATAAACAATATTGAAAATAGACAAAAAAACAGTCTAAATCATTAGATAATCATTAATAGATAAATCTATTAACTTATCGATTAGTTCACGGAACTCCGCTATTGTTAGTTAAATTAAAAATTTGCCGTAATTGAGTTTATTTTAAAAGTATTTAAAAAGGTATTAATTATAGCATTCTGGGATCGATATTCATTCTAATTATGTTCGAACGCGTCGAAGAAACTTTTCATTTTCCCTGGAGAAGAATGGAACGAGCAAAATAGGCACCTCTTCTACTAGCAATTGACTTTGCTTAACGGTGTTAGTATCCGGATATGGACATAATGATTTGTAAACTTGTCGAATTTCGCAGAATGGCTGTTTATTATTTAAAGTGTCCCATAATTAATTTTATTGTGTTTTAGTTTTATATATTCTTATTCCTAAGAGAGCGAATTGGGAAACTGTCAAGTTTCCATAGTTAGTAACAAATAAATAAATAATAGAAAGAAAGTATCATATCATTAAAAGTGATTCATTCGTGTCACGTCCGATGACTCGGCCGACGTGTGGCTTTAGCGTAATCGTAGAATATATTTTATAAATAAAATTATTGCTTTGTAAAAGTATTAATAGACATTTAATATTTCTCGCACGCATATATTTATAATTAGTAGGATTTTCTTTCATAGTCTGATTTTTTTGTTGGTTTAATGTATTGATAATATGTGAGTGATATCTATCATTAACATCATATCAAGGTGATATTAATATCACCTTGTTTTATCTAAAGGAGTATAAATCGTGTTTTATTTATTGTTTAATTAATTAATTAAACAATAAATAAATCACTATTTTTGTATAAAATCTTAATTTTCTATTAAATCTATCATTCGACATAACCTAGTTTACTCTTTTATCCTCTTTAACATAGTTTATACAACTTTTCTTTGTGTTGATGTCTGTAAACCATATGTTAGATATAAATGTAAGCCCAAATAAAAAGTATCATATCAACAAACAGTGAAATGGAAATACTGACGAGTTTCTTGCCCTTTTTTCTAAACAAAGTACAATTTTTCAAATCCCTAGCATCGGATTTGAATTTACATATAAATATATATATATATATATATATATATATATATATATATATATATATATATATATATATATATATATATATATATATATATATATATTATATAGTTATAACTGGGTCATGTAATAAATACTTTACACAAGGTGGTTTCTCTGATGTTCAATATTTAATTAATCTTTAACTTCAAACTTGTTTCATGCTGCAAAAATATATTATATTGCATATCAATTTGAGTGCAATATGTATATACATATTTAATACATTAACGGTAAATTTACAAATATATAGAAAAAAAAATCTTTAGTTGATTTGTGTATACGAAAATAAATAAGATAATAGATTAGAGATTATCAAAATATTAAACTAATAAAACGCCAATTATTTTTCTTCTTCTCACAGCAATTTCTTATTCTACAAATTTTTAATTTAAAATTTTTATATATATTTTTTTAATAATATAATTTATATTATTAACAACTTATTATAAAAATTTTACATAGGTGCACGTTTTATTTATCTTATTATGACAAGACATACTGTGAACTGTCAATGATTCTTTAATTAATTAACTATGTAACTATGTATTCTGCCTTTTATATAGAACATTATCATTTTACAACTGCCAATATTGCAAAAAGTAGTTGAAACAAGAGATGGTAGTATACGTAAATAGGGATATAAGAATAAAGGCACTTAGTACTGCATGTTTAGAGATACACTGATTCTCTCTATTTTTAAAAATAGATTGGCAATGCTTTTTTAACTATTATAAAATGATATCGTCCTATAATGAAAATAGAGGGCGAATGTTGAAAAGAAACGCATAAGCGACCTAATTTCAAAGGAGACGACACGAGTGTTTATCCAAACTTGCCCGCCCGGGCGAAGTGGGGAGATCAAGGACGGTGTCTGCCAA